CACTTCCATCCGGAAGGACAAGGGGCAGCAGATACATGGGAACACCACCCCCTGCAAGTTCCCCTCCGAGCCCCTCCCCATCCTGACTTGGGAAATATATCCCTGTTCCTTCAGTGTCACTGGGTCAGAATCCTGGAATCCCCTCCCTAAGGGACATTGTGGTTCAACCCTACAGCACATGGACTGCAGCGGGTCAAGAAGGCAGCTCACCCCCACCTTCTCAAGGGGGGCAACTAGGGACGGGGCGATGAATGCTGGGCCCAGCCAGTGACGTGTGTAAGCTCTGACGGCAGTGCGGCTCGGGGAGGGCCTCTGTAAAAGGTGACAGAGGCTGGCGGACTCACCGGGAGAGGGCAGAGGTCGCGATCCACCTGATGACCATCGGCAGCTAGTGGGGTAACTCGGTGCCTTGATGCGGCTGGAAGGGAGCGTGCGGGGAGGGGGCAGGGGCCCAGTTTTCTGCCCCGCCATGCCCTGGAGGCGCTCGGGCGAATGCGGGTGGTCCTCCTGCCCTGTTCCGGTGGGCTCCGTGGCATCATTCACCTCTGAAGGAAGCAAAGGCAAAGGACCAGAGGATAATTGGCTGCAGCAGCACGAAAATGCTAATTCATTCACATTCAGAACACTCCCCCAACCTTCCCCACAGATGCCCTGAAACAATCCAGAGGGACAGCGGCAAAAAGATGGGCTGACCGGCCTCTTTCTTTTGTAAAAGGCTCATTTATTTGCAAGATTTCTTTGCTTCTCATTTATTCGCTGGGATGAGGGCGTCGCTGGCGAGACCAGCATTTATTGCCCAGAGGGCAGTTAAGAGGCAGTCACATTGCTGTGGGTCTGGAGTCACATGTAGGCCAGACCGGGTTAGGACAGCAGTTTCCTTCCCTGAAGGATGTTGGTGAACCTGATGGGTTTTCCCGATAATCGACGATGGATTCATGGTCAGAATTTGACTCTTAATTTCAGATTTTCCCAAAAAATTGAATTCCAATTCCACCACCAGCTGCGGTGAGATTCGAACCCCAGGTCCCCAGAGCGTTACCTGGGTCTGTGGATGAACAACCCAGCGATGATACCACGAGGCAGTCGCCTCCCCCATCGACTATCGCTGGCAGGGCCAACGTTTATTGCCCGCTCCTAACTACGCACAGGGCAACCACACCCAAAGGTGGGTCTGTGATCATGTGTAGGCCAGACCAGGTAAGGATGGCAGATTTCCTTCCTTCAAGGTTACTCTGACAACTCAATTCAAATTCCACCATAGCGGGATTCGAACCCAGGTCCCTGCAACATGACTAAGGTCTCCAAATTCATAATGTGGCAACAATAACACTAGGCCATGGACCTCCTCCATCTGCTCTAAAGCTTTCTATGATTCTACACACAGAGTGTCAATCTAATCAAGGGGTTCAGGGTGGTTTATATACAGAATAACAGATACCCGGGAGTG